GACTGGTAGCGGAATGTCGGGGTGTGTTCGAGCTAATGATAATTTGTGTGGAAATAATGTATCATTTGTTTCTAGACTTAAGACTTGGCTTCTGCTTATGAGTGGGGTTGTGAAAATTAATTTGGATGGTTCTTTAAAGAAGAATGAGCTTGCTAGTGTGGGTGTGATTTGTAGGGATAGCAATGGACGATTTTGTGGTGGTTTGGGGAAATAAGCAAAGGTTGTTAATAGCTTTATGGCTGAATGTCTTGCAGCTACTGAGGCCTTGTAGATTTGTGATATATTTGTGATAGATTTGCTGGATAGGTTTGTAGGTAAACTAATTGTGAATTGCTTTTTAAATTTCTCAATGCAAGTTCTAGTTTGAGTTGTGACTAGTGCTGTGAGGCTCTATTGTTGAAGTTGCTTTTGCTTACAGGTGCTAAGCCAAATGTTTCCCTTTCTTTGGTTTCACGCCAAGAAAATTATTTTGTTGATATATTAATAGATTTTTATGCAAAGGAGTTAATACCTAATGGGTGGCTTTCAATAACAACACCTTCTTTTTATGATGTTTTGTTGGCTGATTTGTTGGGCAAAAGTAAGCAACATGAGAAGGTTTATAGAGTTTTTGATTCTAGTTTGATTAGGACTGGTATAGAATAATTGTTTTGGTGCTTGTTTTTTGTTTATTTGGTATTTGTTAGATTTTTTTTTTTTTGGTTTGGTTTTCTTTTCACATTTAGGCCCTGTTTGGTATGCAGCATTGGAGGGTTGGGATTGGGTTTGGGTTTGAGTAATCCCACATTTAACATGTTTGGTATGAGTCACTCACTAATCCTTGGGATTGTTTAGTCCCACTTAGGTGGGAATACTCAAACCCACCATCCCCCTGGTATTGCAAAATTAATCCTGGGATTGAAATTATCATTGACCAAAATACCCTCCTCAAATATGCCCAGATCTGACCCCTCTCGTTCTCCACAAAATTTTTCGCTCAGACATGTTCACCGTGGATGATTCCGGCGACGACTTTCTCTCACCGTCGACAACTTCCTCTTGCTGTAGACGGCTTCCTCCTTCGCCGGCATCGCAAAGCAAAGAACAGAAGCACGAACAAAAGCAACGACCATGGGCAAGCAAGATTCATTTTCAGATCTGATGATGGGCGAGCAAGAACAAAAGCAACGGCGATGAAAGGTTGCGACGGGATCGTCTTCTTCCTCCCTTGACTGTGCAAATGTATACATTTTTAGATTTGATTTGGTGTTAGACTTGCATTCTAGATTGTCTTCTTAATCCCTTCTCACTCGCCGCCTTCTCCTCGAGCTCCCCCGCATCCACCGCCGGGAAGCTCTAGGTCTGAAGTGCAGAGCTCCAGATCCGCCGTATCTTCCCCTGAGCTATGCACCGTTGATGATTGTATTTTTTTTATTAATAATAAGGGGCATTATGGTATTTTGTTCATTTATGATGAATTAAAAAAAAATTAATGTTAGTATTCCCTCCAAATATTACTTCATTCCAAACATATTTTTAAAGTCCTAATCCCAACCCCAACCCCAATCCCAACCCCAACCCCAATTCCAATCCCAATCCCTCAAAATTTATATCTTTGTACCAAACAGGGCCTAAGGTTGTATTTAGGTTTTACTGCTTTTTTTTTTTTTTACTGCTTTCTGATATTAGTGAGTGTATTTCTTTTTTATAATCAATAAAATTGGCTTGTTTTTTGTTTAAAAAAAGGAATATTCTAACAACATTAATTATAAATAAGAATTTTAAAATTTTGAAAAAGACCAAAAAAAATTTGTTGGAATTAAAATTTTTATAATTCTTTTCATATAGAAACCACACCACAATCATAGCACAATTCCTCATGAGTCACAAACAGAATGAGTCCCAGGCCAACCTCAAGTGCTTGACTTATGTTTGATTTGAGGGAGGAAACTAATAATAAGTTGATGATTTTATTCTCATCAATTTTAAGTTCATTTTTATTTTTTTTGCTTTAATCTATTAATAAAAATAGTTATATTATATTTTAACAATGTTTTAAGAATATGAACTTATATTCATAACATTTTTTGAAAGAATACATACATCAATATTATATTTTATCAAAGCATCCAATGAAAATATATTACAATTTTAGACCACAAAATTATAGATTAATTTTTGTAAATTGATAAAATTTATTTAATTATAAGAGAGAGGGATTTAGTAGCATAAATAGTTTAAAATTTTTAAAATAATAAATAAATAATTTAGTCATAATCCCTCTCCTCTCTCCTCCAAAAAAAACTCCAAATCAGAGGGAAAGGCTAGGAGCTCCCTTCCCCTTCAATTTTTAAACCAAACAAGGTACTCCATTCCCCACTTTTTATGAAATACCAACCAAAATAAGGGGAGGAGAGCAACTCCCCGCCCTTCTAAAAACCTTCAGTCAAACATATTTTTAAATTTTGTGTTGCTCTCAATCTAAAGAGTTTTGAAAAAGCATTTCAAATTTGAGCAAAGTGCCATAAAGATTGATTGGTGCAGATAAAAAGGGCTGATTGCAATGGCTAATCTAGATTGAGGTGAAATTGGGCAAATGCCTCCACTTAATGAAATTTACATGTATGTATTGTAACTTTTAAAAATATGCATCCACTACCCCCAATAATTTGGACCCCAGTAGCCTCAAAATAAAACATTTGAGTTCTAACAAATTTTAAACATTTGATATTTCACTCAAGTCTAACCTTTTTTTAAACTCTTAACTTATTAAATTTAAATTTATATTATTATTTTTTGGGGATAAAGATTCATATTATCTTTTATAGTATTTTGATTTTGATTTTTATTATTTTATATTTTATTCTCCCATTGATCCGATGTCTTACGTCCACCATTGGCTGATGGCTCTCTTGGTGGCGTTAGATAATTTTGCCCTCAATAGATAGCAAAAGTGTTCTTTGTAGGGTTGGGTTTGTATCTTTTTTGTGGATAATTTGGCTTTGCTGTGCGTGTCGTTGGTTCAATCATATAATATTCTTTATTGACCTGAAAGTTATTTTTGACTCTCAATGTTGTTCTTTCCCTCTTGTCTTGAGAGTGTTTGATGATACTATTAAGGATGTTTATAGGCTCGATTTGGTTTGGTTTTGGCCAAAAATCAAACCGAACCAAACCATGCGGTTTACTCATAACTAAAACTTAATCAGTTTTTATGAAGTTTGGTTTGGTTCGGTTTAATTTTTGGTTTGATTCAGTTTGGTTAAGGTCTGGATCAGGCTTCAATGCACTTATTTAATTTTTTTCCTTTTTTTCCATCTTCATAATGACGTTATATATTAAAATTAAATCTAATTCTTTTTGGCTCCTTTTTTCATAAGTAGAGGTATAAAAATATAATAAAATTTTAATGTGATAACGATAATTAATTATAAAAATTGATATGAGTTTCTAACATTAAAATTATTTAAAATTATGCATTTTCATTCAAGTCATTTGAAAATGTTTATCTATGTATCTATATTTTAATAAATAATAAAAAACTTATTATACAAAATTCAAAACAAAATGCTTCTTATAGATAAATTGAATACTGAGGTTTTCAAGTTGTAAATAATTAAATGATGGTCATAACATGATTATTATAATTATTTAATATTATGCTTTTCATTCAAGTCCTTTAAAAATGTTTATCTATTACTACAAAAAATTCAAAACAAAATGCTTCTTATAGATAAATGATCATATATTTTATAAATAAATAAATAATATTTTTTAATCAGGTTTGGCTTAGTTTGGTTCGGTTTCTAGTACTCAAAACCGAACTTGAACCAAACTAATTGATTCTCATATCATAAAAACCGAAGCAAATTTGATTATTGTTCGGTTTTAATCGGTTTCTTTTGATTTGGGTTGGTTCGAGTCGGTCCTTTCAATTTGGATAGGTTTTGAACACCCTTAGATACTATTATGAATGCAGCTTTGGCGCATAAGGCTGTGGGCTCAGTGTTTGAGCAAGTCTTTGAACTATCACTCCTTTTAACCGTTTCCATGGCACATAGGACAATCTACTATGTCTTGACTAGCTCCTTGATTTGCAGAAGAACTAGTCTTTACATTATTGTGTCTTTCAATTAATTTTTGTTCTGGCAAAAAAAAATTATTTTTGTTAAAGTATTTTGAACTTCTGTTTGTTTCATGCGGTTTTAGTTTATTAGAGCTTGTATTTGTGATTTCTTAATGAATTGATTTACCTCTGGCCAAAAGGACCCAAAAAAAAAAAAAAACAACTCAATTCATAGTTTTAGTCACCTACCATCTGAATTTTCTGTACTTAATTTTATGTTTTCAGAACTCAATTTTAAATTTTTTTCAATACTCATCTCCCACGTCCTAGCATTTATCTTTGATTCTTTTCAGCAGTAAAAGATGGAAGATAAATTTTAAAAACATCTAAGATTATTGGAAAAAAGGTTAAAAATTGAATACTAAAATGTTAAAGATGAAAACTGGTAAAAGATGAGTATTAAATACATTAACTCAAAATTTTGATTCCATCCAAAGACCATGACCCTTTTCTGAAATTTTAAAACCTTAATTGTAATTGATGTTCTTGAAAGATCCTTAAACGTCATTTTTCCTAGTGCAAACATTTGACTAGTTGAGGTGACTCATCTAACTTGATGAATAATGATGAGAGAAAAAGCGTCAGCCCTAAGAATTTATTTGAAATGTCTGAAAATTTATAGAATAAATTTTTCAAAAATAAACATTAAATTAACCTAAAGTAGAAAAAAAAATTAAATGGAACTTCCAAATTAAACTAAACAAAAAAAAAAAAGACTTCGGATGTTTGTTTTGATCAGGTTGATTGTTTTAGCAAACATGTGAATCATAATGTATCTATCAAGACCGCTAAAAAATTGACAGAAAATGAATTCATAAGAAAACCTCTGCAACTCTCAGACCAAAGAAATTAAAGAAAGAAGAAAAGAACACTGCAATTCAATTTGACCTGGGGAAAAAAAAAAAAAAAAGACTACAACTAATCATTGAAAGTTAGAACACATGCTTAAAACTAGGCTTGATGACCGTCTTAGAGATGAAATCCCCCATGCATTTAAATTAAGTATGGGAAACAAGGGCATCAAGACAAAATAGGTACACATGGCAAAAAAGCCACGAAGTTAAGGTCCAAGTAAAAACCCTTATGTAATGTTTGGTATGAAGAAAAATATTTTATAAGAAGGAAATAAAAAATGCACCTATCTCATTTTCTTTCCAGGTACATTTCCTATTTCTTTTCTAGAAAACACTTCAGGTACCAAACATTGCAATAATCAGCATCCTTCTTCAGTAGATTCCCGGAATGATTTTGCTAGGCACCTTGTTGCAATATAATTTCCAGTACTTACCATACCTGCATGCAGTGGAAATTGAAAATGTTGACGAGACACAGGAAAAAAAAAGAACAAGAACTTGATATTGGAGCATTTAAAAGTATTTGAGCGGAAATATGAGAATAAAAAAACCAAATCTTTTTAATTAATTAGACTTTACGCTAGTACTACACTGTTTCTAATACAATTTTATTTAACATACAATGAGAAATTGGCAATTCCAAATATAAATTGCTTTGGACTAAGTATATGCTTCAGAAAACAGTCCAATTGGTTAGTAGCAAGCATTTATTTCATGCTATTAGAAAAGAAAGTAAAATGACAATGCATTAGAACTGACACAAGTTATAGAGGGGACTATTTGCAATTACCAAAAAAAAAAAAAAAAAAACGATGCCACATCTCTGAGGGGAAGAAAAAATTACCAATATCAATATTATCAATATAGAATATAAATCAATAAAACATATGAAATTTGTAATAATCACGCTGTTTAGAAATTATGAACAACATGACCCATTCCTCAGATTTCATATAACAACAGCAGATACTATCTGTATACTTACTTGGATTTACACCGATCATCATCCCTTTTCGCTCGATCAAAGAGAAGGATGGTAAGAAATATCACATAGAAGTAGGGCAAAAACTGCATGAAAAAAGTATCAGATTCAAGAGGTAAGACGAAGTTACAATTTATAACTCATACAGATTAGAGAATAAACAGTTAAATACACTCTTACGTGATTGAATAGAGCAGGAACTGTCCAAAAGAAAGCAGAAAGTATTTCTGGGACATAATGGAAATGACGAGATAAACCCCACCTGCAGGGATCAGAGAAGGAACTGGCCATCAAAAACGGAAGATGTCTAATCTAAGAAAATAATATCATGTTGAAAGGCAAGGACTGTGGAAAGATTTAAGCCCGAATGGTATGCATTTATTATTAACGACAAATATAAGAGAATAATAATATTTATAATATACATATAATCAATTATCACCAAGAAACAGATGGTATCTTAAACTCCTGCCTGGGAGGGAGGTATTTTGAGCAACGTTTAAATATCACCATTTCACTTTTACAGTATTTCAAGCAAAAACTTACCATCCGGATGTTAAAAGAAGGCTGGTTTTTGTTTCACCAGTAGTGGTGGTATAGGAGGCCTCTATCTGCAAGGGCATCATCACATCAAATCCAAGTCCAACAGAAAATACATCCCAAATGACCCTAATGTAAATGCCATGACTTCACACCTTTAATGGAGGTTTTCCCCAGACTAAGCATTTCCCATTTGTCCGACGAAATTCTTGTCTTTGCCTATCACAATCATAGTTGATGTATATGCAGAGAATGCCAGCCACAAGAATAAAGATTGCAAGCTGGAAGACAAGGATAGACATTTTCACACAGAGAGAGAGGAGGAAGCCATATAAAAGTTAATACGAGTGTGTGTCTGCTGGCAACATCAAGATAAATAAAAAACAATGTAAAAGGGAGGAGGAAATACCTGAGTGCCAAGATTTACAGGATGGTTGACAAGGTACATTCCAGGAGATGTATAAACAGATGGAACCCACACCAAGCAGCCCCAGCAAATATAAAAACCCGCTGCCATATTGGGTGTTATAAAATCCAGTGAGACAATATAGAACTTCAAATACAATGTGCACAACAAAATTAATGATGATATGTGGCAAGAGGATTGCATAGAATAACAAAACTCAAAAACTAATCAAGTCATTGTCATATAATTCCCCAAGAAAGTAGTCATGGTACCATCAAAAGCACCGTTGTTCTTTGTCATAATCATTACAAGGAAATAATTAGCATGCAAAACATATATAAGAATAAAGCATATATGAACCTCGGTCATGAGCAATATCCATTGTGTTCCAATATCCAGCTTCCCACCAGAAAAACTTGCTAACATACACCAGCATTAATGCAGTATTTACAAGCATTGAGTCAGCGACTTTCCCAGTTTCCTCATACTATTATGACAAAACACAATGATTAGAGAAAAGTTGAGAGAGGAAATATCATAGAGCTAAAATTTCAGAAAATTCAAAACATTCTTGATTCTTATAGGACTGGACAGATCGTACAAATCCAAGGTGACACAGGAAGCTCAGCACAATAAAGATAAGAATGATAACACTAAAGACTGAAGTAGAAACCACAAAAAGGAACTGATAGGGCCTGTTATTTTTCTAAGACATATCAGAGGAAGTCAAAGGGAAAGAATAACTCTAGTGGAAATACTTGAACTAGTCTAGAAGTTTACCCTTCGGTCCACAGCCGTAAGGAACAGTATTTTGTGATCTTTTGTAATGAGTGGGATCTTTTGGGTAGTATTGGCTATGTGTCAGCCACTGAAGGTATTAGTAATCTTTTGCTTAGGAAGGGAGGGCCAAGAAGAATGAGAGTGGAATAGTAAGGGGAGATTGGCCTCTCGAATGCCAGTGGGAGTGAGACTCTTGTATTGAAGCTTTTAATCTGTGTTGCTAGAATGTTTTATCATCTTTTAGAGGAAATAGGGTTTTGGGCCAGAATTAGAGTCCCCTTGTACATCTGATTCGGTTATTCATCTCATTAATATCAAAACCTAAGTATTTTCCTCTCATATTTATTGCTGTTGCTGTCTTATTTATCACTCTTGTTGTGATTCTGGCTTGGGACGCATTATTTGGTATCAGAGCGATACAATCTCTGGGTGTGGTGTGTAAAGAGATATGACGGAAAGGGTCCAGTATGCTGATTTGGAAGTACAAGAACTGAAGGTGACGGTTGGGGTATTGACCCGAGATGTAAACAGTATTAAAGAAACATTGAAGACTATTAATGATGCCCTGGTGCAAATAGAGAAGAAGATAACCGGGCCACGTGCAAACGAATAGGAAGGTCATGAGGAGGTTTCGATGAGCAACCCAGGCAGTGATACAGACGGAAGCAAATATAGAAAGTTAGAATTACCTGTTTTTTCAGGCGAGGACCCGTTGGGATGGCTTTTTTGGGTGGAGAGATATTTCCATGTTAACTCCATTGCAGAACGAGATAAGCTTGAGGCTGTGGTGGTATGTCTAGAGGGTAAGGCATTAAACTGGTACCAATGGCTGGAGACCAGGATACCCCTAAGTCACTGGACAGAGTTCAAGAGTAAGCTGCTACACAGGTTTCACTCCTCTCAGCCAGGGGGGGAATACGAGCGACTGTTCACATCCAAACAGGATAGGACGGTGCTGGAATTTGTTGAAGAATTCGAGCTCTTGTCTACGCCGCTGTAGGAGGCCTCTGAAGAATGCTTGATCGGCGCATTCCGTTCTGGGTTAAAACTAGAGATCAGAGCCGAGTTGAAGCTAACGAAAACTCCAACACTACGAGAGCTTATGGAGATGGCGATGTATAGAGGAGAGGAATCGGATACTTGGAGATTGCAGAGAAACCAGGATCACCCGAGCCCAACGTCCTCAGTTTGGGCCCAAACCCGAAACGCTGCAACCCATTTATTCCACACGAGTTGCGCACGTGACTGAAGGGAATCGCAACATGCATACTACAACGTCTTTAGCTGCTGAAAATTCGAAGAAAATAGATACGAAAACAGAGCACTCTAAAGCTGCGAGCATTTCAAATTGGGGATTGTCGACGAAGAGGATGGGAAACTCGCGACGACTCTCTGACGTTGAGATTGCAAGGCGACGTGAGTTAGGACTGTGTTTCAAGCGTGGAGATAAATATAGCCCGACCCACCAGTGCAAGAACAAGAACCTTCAGGTACTAATAATGGAGATGGGGGCGGAAAAAGAGAGAGAGGAAGATGACGCAGAGGCTGAACTTGAAGGAGGGGAATTCGAAAATGCTGATGAAAGGGCACAAATGGAATTATCTCTCAATTCCATGGGTGGATTCGGCGATAATCACACTATGAAGGTTAAAGGGAGGATTGGAGGCACTGAAGTGATTATTCTGATTGACAGTAGCGCTACCCATAACTTCATCGCTGAAAATCTGCAGAGTAAATTAAAATTACCCTTTAATGAGATTTTTGAATATACGGTTACAGTGAGTGATGGGTTTGTTGTGAAAGGGAGGAAAAGGTGTAAGGACCTCTGTTTGAGTGTCCAAGGGTACCAAATCATTCAAACCTTCTATCCTTTCACGTTGAAAGGGGTTGATGCAGTCTTGGGAATGGAGTGGCTAAAATCCCTGTGGGATGTGAAGGTCAATTGGAGCGAGTTAACAATGAAGATTGGCAAGAAAGAAAAGAGAATGTGCTTACAGGGTGATCCATCTCTCACTCGGGCTTAGGCTACTTTCAGGTCACTAATTCGCTCTGTAGGAAAGAAAGGAGAGGGGTTTCTAATTGAATATAGTGGACTCACGGGCAGCAATGAAAGTACTTTCATTTTTTCTCCTAAAATTCAGGAGTTATTAGAGAAATATCCTACTGTCTCCCAAGTTCTTGAAGGACTACCTCTAACCCGTTCACAAGATCATGCTATTCTTATTAAACCTGGAGACCAGCCACCGAACATAAGGCCCTATCGATACTCCCATATGCAGAAAAATGAAATAGAAGGTTTGGTGAAGGACATGTTACAGGCTAGAATTATTCAGCCAAGCAACAGCCCCTACTCAAGTCCAGTGTTGTTGGTCGGGAAGAAAGACGGAAGTTGGAGGTTTTGTGTTGATTATAGAGCCTTAAACAAAATTACAATCCCGGATAAATTTCCTATTCCAACCACAGATGAACTATTGGATGAATTGAAGGGAGCCAAAATTTTCTCCAAGCTGGATTTGAAGTCTGGGTACTACCAAATTCGGATTAAGGCTGGGCATGAACACAAAACAGCATTCAGAACAAAATGAAGGACATTATGAGTTCAAGGTGATGCCCTTTGGATTAACCAATGCTCCCTCAACCTTCCAATCCTTGATGAATGAGGTATTCAGGGAGTATTTACGCAAGTTTGTATTGGTATTTTTTGATGACATTCTCATATATAGTGATGACTTAACCACTCATTTAAAGTATTTGGAGACTGTATTTGCTATCCTAAAGGAAAATCAGCTTGTGATTAATTTGAAGAAATGTAGTTTCGTACAACCCAAGATTGAATACTTGGGGCATCTTATATCAAGAGAAGGAGTTCAAGCTGATCCCGCTAAGATAGAAAGCATGGTGAAGTGGCCAAAGCCTAAGAATGTGAAGTCTTTGAGGGGTTTCCTTGGGCTGACCGGGTACTATTGTCGATTTGTCAAGAACTATGGGAAGATTGCTAGCCCCCTTACTGATTTACTTAAAAACGATTCTTTCAAGTGGTTAGTGGAAGCGGAAAAGGCATTTGAACAGCTCAAAACTGCCAGTGCTCGCAATGTCCGATTTTACCATTCCTTTTGAGCTTGAGACTGATGCGTCCGGTACCGAAATAGGGGCAGTTTTGATGCAACAGGGCAGACCGGTGGCATATTTTAGCCAAAAGCTCTCACATAGAGCCCAACAATGCTCTATTTATGAAAGAGAGCTCATGGCTATTGTTATGGCAGTTAAAAAATGGCGCCATTACCTTGGGGGGCATAAATTTATCATCCTACAGATCAAAAAGCACTGAAATACTTGCTGGAGCAGAGAGTGGTTGATGAAAACCAGCGGCAATAGGTGTCAAAATTAATGGGCTTCAAGTTTGAGATTATTTACAAGCCCGGAAAAGAGAATAGGGCTGCTGATGCCTTATCCAAAAGAGAAGAATCACTGGAACTAATGGATTTTTCATTATGGCAATATAATGATGTGGAAGAATGGGAGAAGGAGGTGCAAGCAGACCCAAATTGAGCAAAATTCTACAGCAACTCTTAACTGATAAAACTGGGGTGGAAGGGTACAGCTTAGTTCATGGCTGCCTACACTATAAAGAGAGGTTAGTCTTACCAAAAAATTCCACCAGAATTCCCTTGTTATTGAAGGAATATCATGATTCTCCAATAGGGGGCATTCGGGCTACTTACGCACCCACAAGAGGCTGTCCAATGTGGTGTATTGGGAGGGAATTAAAAGGGATGTTCAGCAATATGTAGCAAGTTGTGAGATCTGTCAAAAGAATAAATCAAGCTCTAACTCTTGCTGGTCTGTTACAGCCGTTGACCATCCCTCAAAACATTTGGGAAGACATTAGCATGGATTTCATTACCGGGCTTCCTAAATCAAAAAGGTACGACACCATTCTAGTAGTAGTGGATAGGCTCACCAAATATGCTCATTTTTTCACTCTTGCCTACCCTTTTTCTGCAAAGGATGTTGCTGAAAAGTTTGTGAATGAGGTTGTGAAGTTGCATGGTTTCCCTAAAACCATAGTTTCAACCGAGACAGAATTTTCATTAGCCAATTTTGGCAAGAATTGTTCAAGCAAGCGGAACCCAACTTTGCCTTAGCTTATCATATCATCCGGAAACGGATGGACAAACGGAAGTGTTAAATAGGAGTTTGGAGACTTACTTGCACTGTTTTGCTAATGAAAAACCAACTCAATGGGCTAAATGGTTGTTTTGGGCTGAATATTGGTACAATACTTCATTCCACAGTGCGGCTAGCATGACACCTTTCAAGGCGGTATATGGCCGGGATCCACCTACATTTCTAAAATTTAGTGGTGAACCTTCAGTTGTGGAAGATGTGAATGAACAGATTCAAGATCGAAATCAGATCATTGAACAATTACGGGACAATTTAGCTAAGGCTCAAAGTAAAATGAAGGCGCAAGCTGATAAGCATCGCCGGGACGTGCAATTTGAGATTGGGGACTTTGTTTATGTGAAGCTTCGCCCTTATCGATTAAAAACCTTGGCCAAGAGGAGCAATGAGAAGCTCAGCCCACGTTTTTATGGACCTTTCAAGGTTCTTGAGAAGATCGGAACAGTGGGCTACAAGCTGGAACTTCCAACCACCGCCTACATTCACCCCGTATTTCATGTTTCTCAGCTCAAACAAACGGTTTCAGCTGCTATGGCACAGCCTACCATCCCTCCGATGCTTTCTAATGAGTTTGAATTACAAGTGCAGCCTCAAATATTAGGAAGGTGCGCCGGCTTATGAATGGACAGCGAGAAGTGTTGGTTAAATGGCAAGGCTTACCTGAATTTGAGAACTCTTGGGAATGTGCAGAAACAATTTGCAAACAGTTTCCAACTTTTTCCCTTGAGGACAAGGTGGAGCTTTTAGGGAAGGGTGATGATAGGGCCCGTTATTTTCCTAAGACATATCAGAGGAAGTCAAAAGGAAAGAATAACTCTAGTGGAAATACTTGAACTAGTCTAGAAGTTTACCCTTGGGTCCATAGCCGTAAGGAACAGTATTTTGTGATATTTTGTAATGATTGGGATCTTTTGGGTAGTATTGGCTATGTGTCAGCCACTGAAGGTATTAGTAATCTTTTGCTTAGGAAGGGAGGGCCAAGAAGAATGAGAGTGGAATAGTAAGGAGGGATTGGCCTCTCGAATGCCAGTGGGAGTGAGACTCTTGTATTGAAGCTTGTAATCTGTGTTGCTAGTGTTTTATCATCTTTTAGAGGAAATAGGGTTTTGGGCCAGAATCAGAGTCCCCTTGTACATCTGATTCGGTTATTCATCTCATTAATATCAAAACCTAAGTATTTTCCTCTCATATTTATTGCTGTTGCTGTCTTATTTATTACTCTTGCTGTGATTCTGGCTTGGGACACATTAGGAACTAAATAAAAATCTTGGCAGCAAAATTTGAGCTAAACAGTCTCTTCAGTCTAATTCAGTGGTTGATAGAGGATATGCATTGACATAAATTTTACAACATAAAAGAGTTTTACATTCTCTGGCCCACTGCCCTAAGTACGCTAAGAAGTTCACAACACTTGATTTATGAATAAACAAATCAGTGATTAATTTGGTACAAAAGATTTGGGGAGGGGGACTCTGGTAACTGATTATAAATGTTGAGTTGTGCTAAGGCATTTCCTAATCGACATCTACTTCTCTCCTTTGTCCAGAAAGTCCATAGATTAAAAGACAATCTTCAGGCTTCAAGTATAAACCTTTGACTGCCTCATTCCATTTCCCTTGTCTTCTCCAACCACTCTCGACAAGTTAAAAACATAACATTAAATCAAACAGCATTAAAGCCACAAGTATTATGAGTCTCTCTAAGGTCCCATAAGATACATCTCAGAAGTGAAAACATTAATTTAAGTAATGTCTTCAAGATATTAACTTTCTTTGGGTAGAAAAGAACTATGGTATTTAAGATCAATATTTATACTAAAACTAGATCAAGAAACAGCAACCAATGCTCCAAATAATCTTAAACATTAATAGTAAATAATTAATAATATTAAAAAGTCTGGAATTCTCTCTAGTATTGAACAAAGCGAAGCATGTAGCTATTCATACATAAGGAAGGCTACTTTAGAAGACAAATTTACAATAACAGCCATTAGGGACTATTGAGATAACTAATATACACATTTGCCTAAATTCTAAAAATAATTATATTTTAAGGAATTTTAACGTGAATCATATAAATATTCCTCCAAAAATTATGATTACATGATGGCAATTATCCACAATTAGAGGTGGCATTAAGCTCCTATAGAGTTTGCTTAGTCACTTAGCCTCCCAAGCCCTAATCCTAAGGTGTTTCCAGTGGAAAATATCAATGATCACCACTGAGTTCTTGCAACAGATTGGTCAGCTTCTACTCCCTCCAGTCTCAAATATAAGCAAAAACAGAGGGAGGATCCTTGGTCTCAATTATATGCAAAAGAGACCATATATTCACTTAATTTAATGTCTTTACCCATTCTACCCTTATTTAAAGAGACTAAGTAGTTGGAATTTTTTTATGTAATTAATGACAAGAAGGGTATTTGAGGAAAACCAACTTGATTTAAAAAAAAAAAATCAAGGATAATAACTACTTTTAACTAACACTCTTAATATGTGTGAATTAGTTATTTTTTGCTTATATATGAAGGGAGTACATTAGACCAACTAAGCACTGGACCCAACAAACATCAATCTTGCTGTTAATGTAAGATAAGTGCTATTTTAGCTCTTAAAACTACCTGCTTTATGCAGTAGGTCAGTGCAAGAACAGCCCAAGACATCATTCCAAATCTGCAATTTGTAAAAACTTTTATGTCAAAATTTTTCCCAATTCGTGGATAGAGCTCCATACCCTGCAGGAATGACAAGACATTTACGATTCTATAATTCAAATGAAAATATGTATTGATGTGACATGGGAACAGACGGGAAATCTATCATATGACTTCTTTACATTTTTTTCTAATTCAGTTTCTCTATCCACAATCCTTACAGGTTTTCAATACAAATGATTAGATAGATAATCAAAAAGTGATATCATTGAAACTATTCTCATAGAAAAAATATACAATAAATTAGAAAAACAATTACCCAGTAAAAATCGATGATCATGTTCCCAGATGAGCCAGAATCAGTAGACGATGGTGCAAAATGACCCTAGGGAATATAACGCTTGAGTCAGAAATTTTAACGCAAGTAGCATAGAACAAATAACAAGTGGCTTCTGCAATGTTAAAGTCGCACTTTCAAGTACAAGAAAATACAGAAGACAAAGCTTCCAAAAATGAGTGCTGAATATATCTCCCCCAAGTGATCGTACACAATTGTTGGGTTGAATATTCCAAACCTGCAGATGCATGCAAATTTATTATGTATTTTAATTGTTGGAAGAAAAATAGTTTAACAAGACAAAACATCTTGTTTCCTAGAAGAAGATTGTAAGAAGGAAAGTTTAATCCAGTTGCTCCGTAACATAGAAACCAACCATTCATCAAAGCTTGGAAATTAATAGAATAATCAATGCAGGGCTGGCAACTATTTTTCTCGTTTCACCAACTACATCCATCAGATATAGTAACTTGCAGATTTCTTGCGAACCTTGTAGTTTATTTACTAGTTAAACCCAAGATGGAATATTATTTTAAGTAATGGCGGAACCCTTTATTGATTAAGTCTCCCCTCTCATAAGATGACCAGAAAAACAAAAGATATCAGTTCAATACCAAGAAAACCTTGGTGGCTAAGAGTGGGGAAAGGGGAAAGGCTGAAAGAAACACTAAAAAGTACCAGAAAGTTAATAATTCATCAAACTCCTGCTTAAAATCTGCATTAGTCATAAAAGGCACAGTAGGAAAACTATAATAAAGAATAGTAACATTGTGTCAATAGTATGATGTGCTCTTAGCTGTGGATAGTGCCTACTTGATGGGGACAATGAGTATTGTAAGGAACAGAACATTAAATAGTTAAAGCAATGTTGGACAAATATATATACATATATATATAAACTCACCACCAGAGGCCAATATAAGTAATCAATGTCACCAAATATGCTGCCACTCCATTTGCCTGCACAATGCAAGCAAAAAATGTTTCAGGCCAAAGGCACGTGGGGAATCTCAATAAATAGTATATGAGCCCAATAAAAGTAAAAAAGAAACATAGCAGAAAGCCAGAAATTTTTAAAAATATATATATATTGTATGCCTTAGCAGCAGCTATACATAAAGGCTAAAACAGAAACCCAACTACTGGTGATAATCAGAGTATGAACAACCTTGTACACAGGTCGGTTGCCAGTAGGAGATATGGGGCCCTCGACCCTTTTACCAGGTAGAAGAAGTTGAAGTGCTGCTTCAAATGCAGCATACACACCGATTATTTTCCAAGCCGTAGCAGTGGGTCTGGGCCATATGTTCAGAAATCCTTGCAGCCCATTCTGTTTCAAATAATCCCAAGTCTGTAAAACAGACCCGTCAGCTTGTGTCATTGTATACCATCTGCATTAAGTAGAAAATCTAAATTACAAATCCATCCATCAAAATCAGTGTAGACTGAATTTCGATCTGCATGATCTGGCCCCACACAAGCCAGCGAATTAAGCATACCTATTAAATGTTATGATATAAATAAGACTATTTATAACATCGTAATAGAAAACAGCTGAGGCTAGTCCATGCAAGAAATCGATGAAGCTTTTCGCTCTATTTACCGTACCAACTCAGTTGAAAAGAATGATAAATTTTCAAAAACAAGTTCCTAGCCTCTGGTACGGGACTATCTGGTGAAGTAGATGAGAATCAAAGGAAAAGATTCGAAATCGGCGTGCTTCAACAACCTCGGATTCACTAATTTCTTGTCTTACTTAGGCTTAGTGCATTTGCTCGTCGATCGAATTAAAAAAATCTGAAAATCATGGAGTTTCAATCAACCTATTTAATGTTTTGAAAAATAAAGATGAAACGGAAGAAATTAAGCTCGTTTGGAAGATTATGGATCCAAGTGTTAACTCTACATGAGTTCAGATTTAAGAACAAAGAAAAGAAATCATCAGATACCATGAAAATTGTCGTATAAGACTCATTTCTAACACACATCAAATCCAGAGGAGCATAAACATAAAAGAATATGAAAAAAGAAGCAATAAAGAAGCAACAAAAAGTAGTTGCAAAGAAATAGAAAAGGCGAAAATGGAAAGGAAGCTCACAAGAGGATGACGAATGGAGGGCAAAGTGAGAGAAGAGATATCATGGAAAAGTAGGTCAGGACAGGTGAGTGTACAGTCTTGGGCTCCGCCATTGTAATGGCTCTGCGAATGCACACTCTCAGCTCCCTTCCAAAATCTGATTTGATTTCTTTCAGGGACGACTTGGGAAGACCATATAATGATATACTATTATCGAAGTTCAAATTTTCCACTGAGCCCCTCCTGTTTTCAAATAATTACCATCGGAGCCTACCGTTTCTCCATTCTTTACATACTTTGACCGTAACACCATGTAACCAAGTAACTTAACTATATGTAACTATATGGGAGAATTTTAATAAAGATTTTTCGATCAAGCTTATTTAAATTTATGATATTATATTGTAGTTTAGATGTAGTAATTTGATATTAATTTTTTAATACAAATGACAAAATTGCTCCTCATTTTACTTAATATCAGAACTTTCATACTTTACTTATTTGCTGTCCTACTTCACTTATTAATACATTAACAAATTATTATTAATTTTTATACTTAACTTATTTTTATTTTAGGTGTTTAAATTATCTTAAAATAACTAGTTAATTCTTATGTTATATATTGTTTATTTACTTAAGAAACATTGTTCATTGATGTACTTCACTTATTCACTATCAGACTTTTACATAATTTTATTAAAGAGAAATAAACAAATAAATTAGGATAATTAATAAAATTTGAAAGTAAATGAACTAGTAAAATAAAAAAATTAACAAGTGAAATAGAGTAGTTCTGATATTAATTTAAATAAAATGCAATTTTATCATTTTTTTTATAAATTTAATATTAGATCAATACCTTTGGACTACGATAAAATTTTAAAAATTTAGGAGTTTTAAATTTAAATAAGTATGGTGAAGGGGTCTTTATTAAAATTCTCCTTAACTATATTCATATATGAAGTTAAAATTAAATTTCAATGTTAAATAAGTTTTTTTTTTTTTTAATTTAGGTCTAACCTCATTTCTCAATCAAATACTCCTCTAATCCTATTTATATAATAGAAAGAATAAAAATTTAATTTTATTATAGGACACTTAGCAATTTTGAATGCTCTTCTTTGCATTTTTGCACTTATTAAATGTTTTAAATAAAAATATCAATAATGATATTTCTGAATATTTATTAAGAATAAAGGTGAAAACTTGTTAAATTTTAAAATAAACTTAATGAGGTTAAGGCTTTTCTTGATTCTTGTGAACATATTAAAAGTGACTTATAAATAAAATCAAAAAAGTAAAATTTAAAAAAGGTTAAAATATATCTTTAATTCTATAACTTTATATTTTTTCCGTTAAAAAATGTAACGTATTTTTTGAGGAGTTTGACAAGTTTAATTTTTTAAAAATAATAATAATTAACCTGATAAATATTCATTTAAAATTAACGATATTAGGATTAAAGGAATAAAAAGATACTTTATAAAATTAAAATATCAAATTGAAACTGTATATAAAATTAAAAAAAATTAAAAGTATATTTTATCCTTTAAAAAAATACGTACATATATGGATCATACAATAAATTTGGAAAATTAAACCATTTCCAAATTAAAATGTTTGATAAGGATAAAAAAATCATTGCTAAAATTCTTCAAAATGGTTATGATTTATGAAGGTTCCGGAAAAGGACCTATTAAATTAAATCAATATAAATCAAGTGCTATAATTCATGTATTTAGTAGATAAGGATCGATGTAATTAAGGATAATGTAATTCATCCCTAGCTTTAGGATATAAATGTTTTATTGTGATTCCTAAATTAGATATTCAATTAAATGATAAGTTTAAGGCATCATATAGTTTTAACAATTATAACTTAATTTATAAACTTCATTTCAATATAATTGATTTCTATAATTTTTAGTTTTGATATAACTTAGTCCTTAAATTTTAATTCATTATAATTCAATTCTTATAATTTTTTTTGACAAACTCAATTCTTATAATTTTAATAATTTAAATACTAGTTCATGAAATTCAAATAAATTTAATCTTAATAATTTTATTTTTAAAATATACAGTCAAATATTTAAAAACGTTTAAAATTATAAAAAATTAAGTTACACTAAGTCAAAATTAAGGATCACAACTAAGTTAAAATTATAAAATATAGGCTGCAAAAAATCAAAATTCAAGAATTAAATTAGAATTCAATTAAAACTACAAAGGTAAATAATTAATTTTCTCTCCTTAATTACATTAATTTTTTCATGACAAAAAATTATCCATTTCAAATCAATTAAATTGAAAATATGTTAAGTTTATAGATTTTTTAAATTTTAATTCATTTATCTAAGTCTAAATTTGCATCATACTCCAATCAAATCTTTTCAAACATTGAAAAGGAAAAATCAACATCAATATATATATATATATATATAATAAAATATTGCATATCACTTGATGGATGATTTAAATTGAAAATTATTTGAATAAAATAAAAAGCAGTTGAAGTTTGTTGCTTTTGTAAGCAAAACTGAAATGCATTATTCAAAAGACATAGTAGAACTCATCTTTTTTTTTTTAGATTAGTAAGAAGAAATGTATCCAATTCTTCTTGTTATTTATTCTAACTAGTATGTGACCCGTGTGATGCACGGGATGTAAAAATTTTGAAAATAATTTAAATAAATAATGATATTTACTTAAAATCTAGAGTTGCCTTAAATAAAAATGATTAACTCATAAATTACATTTAGATATTATACAAAAATCAAAATTTATAATATCACAATGTAAATGATAAAAGTCATAGAACACAACTTAATGTCTTATTTAACAATGAGTATAACTCATCTTTTATTTCAAGAACTCATTCTCTATCGGTATTATCAACCACAAAAATAAGAACCTATGTATTCTAAAAGTAATGCCTCCACAATCCATAATGGACAAATTCATATATTTAAAGTAAATAATGAAATTATAAAATGCATCTATAAGGATTTTATTTTTCAATATGCTAAGAATTTTAACATATATTTCACTTATACCAATATGATTATGAGTAAGCCTCAAAATCGCAATTACTTAATTCAATCTTACTTCTCATTAATTAATCCTCTCTTATGCTTATCTTTTTTTCAACTTGCTTCCTAATTTGAAGCCTATCCAAAAGAGTTAAAATCAATTAAGGCAATAATGATCTTTATCAAATAAATTGGTTTCACTTTTGATAGAAAAAACATGATGAGATAGAACATTTTCTCTTAAAGCATCTTAAATTGAGTTGGCATCTAGTGTAATGAGGGAGAAAACTTGGTATGTTTGTTGAAAAACTTGATACATGAGTGTCAAAGAATTTGCCTTTTTGTTGAAGTACAGATTTCAAGTATTTCATTCTCATTCTAGAAGTTTATCTCTTTGTAATTTTTTCCCAACAATTCCTTCTATAATAGCCTTATTGTACTGTAACCTTAAAACTTATTAACAAACAAATTGAATAGCAATTAAAAACATACGATTCTTATAATTAAGTACATGTTGGGGAAATTTACTTATAAATATAGCATAGAATGAATAGGGCAATGAATGAATATTTCGTTGAGAAAGATAACCTTATTTACATCATGCTTTGTCAAAATAATCATGTCGCTAAGAAATTAAGAACATCATAAGAAGACTTGAATATCCCTTCTCCAAAACTTCCCAACATCCCAACAATGTCAACAACTTGTCCACCTTTTCTGCATATTGAAACATGCTTTGATTTTATAACCCTCTACCCTACAAAATTACAACTGGTGTGATGACTTTACTTGTACTATGTTTCTGATTGTTAGTAGTAGAAAAATGTTCTAGAGTATAAATTTGTTGATGATCTTTGAATTTGTGGCTTATGGATCAAATTCTAAACTAAATCTGAAAATATATATTGATTTATTGATGTTAGATGATTATTTAGGATGAGAAATAAATTATTATGGCTATATGATTATGATTCTAAGCTAAAGACTCAATTTTTAATTTTTGGGTATTTTAGGTGCGAATTTATAAAATAAAAAGAAAATTTTGATAATAGAAATTAGTTTAGAAGTTAATTTTTAGATTATTAATATTTATTGATGAGTAAAAGAGGAGTTTAAAAATTTTACCTTAATAGTATTGACTCTATTTTGTATTAGATTGAGATTAGGAATTATGTTATATTTTTAATTCTATTATTAGAATTATTTTATTAGTTTCAAAAAATTGAAACTAATATTTATAAATATATGTTATTTGTAGCTTGTATTATTGGTGAAAATTGTGGTGGGAGAGAATTATAAGGAATAATTTATTGAAAAAGCCACGAGGTAACCATGCTTTACTTTGTGATTAGTGTTACTTCTTGTTAATTGGGTGATTATGAGAAAATTATGAATTTTGTAATATTGTATAATTGTGCAATATTATTATAAATTTGTTTGATTATTGTGGGAGGTGTTGGGAGACTTGCTATTATTGTTGTATTTATTGTGCCACGTGTACGCCCCTATTGAAGTTCAATAGGTGGATTGTAAGGACTCGGGCTAATCTACCTTTGGCCGGGTAATTAGCACGAGTGAGGGCTACGGCTTGAGGTTAATGGAGGGATATAAGGATGGTTATTTGTGTATATTGTAATATTTTTTATATTTGTTGGAATTATATTATTTTTGCACACTTAACTGTTTGTATACACTATCATAAATTGGCTTTGGTTACTGGGACTTTTGAGTCTCATTATGTGGTTAACAATTTTCAGAAGAAGAGCCACGAGTGACATGTGGAGGAGTCCCAGAGGCTTAGTAGTATAGATCCACTGTCTCTTTTGGGTATTTGATTTATAATTTATAATGTGTTATATTGTCAATATTATGGCTTTTTATTTATTGACAATTATATAAATACATAAATGTAATCATGCCTTTCAAACTATTTCTATTTTTGATACACTTTGGATGACTGTAATTTTAATATTTGATTTACTTTGGATTGGTTAAAATGACATGATTATGAGGCCAAACAACTGGCTTGTTTTGAAAATTGACTAAATTAGTTATTTTACTTGTTGGGAGTATAAGGATGGACAAATGTGATGTGGGAGGTAAAAATTTAGCTGAAATGTTGTATTGTGCGAGTTGAAGCCAATTATAAAATATTTTTATATTGAAATTATTGATATAAAATGTGTTGGGTGGCTGTAACCCAACTATGGTTGAGTTAAATTATTTAAAAAAAAATTGGTGTGTTACAGTAAAATCAATATTAAGGCAATAATGATTTTTATCAAATAAATTGGTTTCACTTTTGATAGAAAAAACATGATGAGATAGAACATTTTCTCTTAAAGAATCTTAAATTGAGTTGGCATCCAGTGTAATGAGGGAGACAACTTGGTATGTTGTTGAAAAACTTGATACATGAGTGTCAAAAGAATTTGCTTTTTTGTTGAAGTACAGATTTCAAGTATTCCATTTTCATTCTAGAAGTCTATCTCTTTGTAATTTTTTCCCAACAATTCCTCCTATAATAGCCTTAACTTATTGTAAAAACAAATGAATAGCAATTAAAAAACATTGATTCTTATAATTAAGTCATGTTGGGGAAATTACTTATGAATATGGCATAGAATGAATAGGGCAATGAATGAATTTTCGTTGAGAAAGCTAACCTTATTTACATCATGCTTTGTCAAAACAATATTTGAGTCTCCATATGCTTAATCACGTCGCTAAAAATTAAGAACATCATGAGAAGAACTTGAATATCCCTTCTCCAAAACTTCCCAACATCCCGAACAATGTCAACAACTTGTCCACCTTTTCTGCATATTGAAACATGCTTTGTAGCTTTTTCACTAACCTCTCACCCTCTTCACACAAAAACCATTACAACCTAGTGTGCTTCATGACTTTCATCTTGTCACTCATGTTCCTTTAGATCCTGCAATTATGCTAAGTAGAGAGAGTAAACATAAGAATGATGATACAAGCAAATTACCTTTTGGTTTTGTTGTCTTTTATAAAAAAAATGAGCTAGCATTTTAAAAACTAAATGTAAGAGTAAGTGGTATGTGATGGTTGCATTGAATTAAAAGTGAAGTTTAGAAGATATGATAGTGGGGAAGTTTTTGGTGAAGATAGTAGCCATGATAGCCGCGAAAATTTTAGGGTATTAGGAAAGTTATAATGTTTGATTATTTTATTTTTGTAAATTTAAATATATTAAGAAAATTATGATTAAAGTAGATATATTGTAAAATCTGAAAAATCAGGAGAAATATCCCAAAAATTTAAAACATATAAATTAGATTATTTTATAAAAAGATAAGTAAAATCAGATGTAGGGAAAGTTATAATATATGATTTTTTTTAAAAAAAAAATTCTTCAGCTGGAGACTTTTTTTTATATTTTAAAAATCTTAAATTTAAATAACATACAATTAAAATTAGAAAAAAATAAGGAACTTTAAGTGTATAAATTAATTTTATATAAAAATTAAAATCGAGTGTAGGGAGAGTTATAATGTTTGATTATTTCTCATTTTTTAATTTTTTTCATGGTAGATATTTTTTTATATATTTGAAAATATTAAATTTAAATAAAATTTAGAAAATATGATTATTTATTTATTTAGGAAACTAGGAAGTTATGATTAAAATAGATAGATTGTGAGAATTGAAAATTTGAAAAAATATAAGGAAATTTAAAATATATAATTAATTGTTTTATATAACATATTAAAGTTTAACGTGGCTATTTAAATCATAATATTTTGTAAATTAACATGTGTCAAACTTAAGAGGTAAATTTATATATTTTATATTAGAGTGATAAAGTGAATAACAAGTATATCTCTATAAATGACAAGTGTCATTTTTTTTCAAATACTACAATTTTAAAAAGCACGTAAATTTTATTTACAAAATTATTTTTATTTATGAATATAATTTATTTTTATTCCTTCTTTCATTACTTCTTACCCCCCTAATCTAACAATTTCATAATCCCACAATTCCTCTTTTATATATAATTAGTTATTCAATATTCCATCATTTTAATAACTTTCTTACTTTACAATTTAATTTTTTATTTTTTAATTCATGCATTTAAAAGCAGTTGAAGTATGTTGCTTTTGTAAGCAAAACTGAAATGCATTATTCAAAAGACATAGTAGAACTCATCCTTTTCATAGATTTGTAAGGAGAAATGTATCAATTCTTCTTGTTATTTATTCTAATTAATTCACAAAATAAAGAATATAAATTTAGGAGGGATGTTGCTGCTTAAATTGAATAACTTCCTCACAAACGGAATATATTTAGAAGATGTTCCATTTTTGCTCCAACGCCTCACAGATCAGTCCTATGCAGCATTTGGCAGATAGTGGATATCCAGAAACTGCAACCGCAACAAAACATATTAGCACAGCTTATGTGAAGTATATCATGATAAAACAGTGTAAAAAGATTATCAGTAATATAACTATTTTTATTAAAGAATTGGTAATACTAATTCCAAGATGACTTGACGAATCCCTTAAAAATTTACCTAAACTTTGGGAGGGGTAGTTAGATACTGGGAAACATTGAAAACGAAAATTATAGAGCTTGCTAAGACATTAATAAGAATTGAAGATCTCCAAATATTGAAATGTCAGGAAAAAAAACTGATTTTTGTTTGCAATTAAAATGCTTCTAATTATTGAAATTAATCAATAGAAGGTCATTTATGAATTATAAAAAAAATTGGCTGTGAATTTAATGAAGCTCACTTGTGCATATATACAAAATTAATTGTGAATGAGTAGATAGTTTTGAGAATATACACATTATCACATGTAAATTAAAGGATAACCGCTTGTAAATTTTTGAAAAATACTTGTGAATTTTATGAAAAGTCAAAAACATGGGAAGGTCCTGAATCATTGATTTACAATTAATATATTCATATCCATTCACAATTGACACTTTTCAAATTTACAATTGACCGTCCTAAATCACAAGTGATGTGTAAATTCATGATACTATCATTTATTCACAATTGAATTTCATATTTATTAATGACCTTAAAATTTAAGTGACTATCCTTAAATTTATAAGTGATGATAAATAATTTATAAAATTATATATCCCTTCACAACTAACTTTCTATTAATTCACAAGTAACATTACTTGAATTTATAACTAACTTCAGTTAAATTCATGAGTCACATTCCATTCATTATTTTAACAACTATTTATTTTTTAATTACAATAATAATCATGGTCCTTGACATTTTAGTAATTCAGTATCTTTAATTGTTATTAATGTCACAAGTTCTATAATTATCATCCTCCCTTATTATTTACATATACCTGTATTATTTCGCATCATAACAGCAGATAACTAATAAATCTATGTCACGAAAGAAAACTAATGGATCTATGACCTAATAGCTCCCTTAAGTACTGTTCTTGAGTTTGATCATGAACTATTTACATATTTTATAACTTTGAGTTACTATTAATTAAATTTTGACTGCATCTAATATGTAATTAACAAGCCAAAAGACAACCTTTTCACTGTTATACCGTATATCAACTTGACAACTACGTCTAGAAAACAAGCATTAAGAATCACAAACACTGGGAGGGAATGACAGTTCAAATATTTGAATCATTTCAATGGGATATTTTTATTCAGACTAGGCATGATTGGAAACAAAACCACTAAGGTAATTTATCCCAGAATCTAATGAAAATAATTGAAATTCTATCTAGATAGGTGGAATTTGAACATTTTTGGAAGGTACAGTTACTTTTACCACTTTGAAAAGCCTTTACCTGAAATATAATCATGCATATAGTCCTTCTTTACACTCCCATTCACCATTGCACCGACCTGAAAATATAAAGGAATCTATCACAATGATTTAAACAATATCACACATGAACTTAGAAGTCATTTGGTTACTGGAAATGGTGGAATGAAATGGATTAAAGATAAGAACAAAAATGAATTAAATCACCCCCTTACCTCATGATAAGAATGATAAAATTCCATAGCACATACTAGAAATGAAAAAATTACCCCCTTCACATGATCCCAATCTCATAAATTAAATTATCCTTCTCCCTTCATAAACACAATTCACTTATCTCTCTCACACGTCTTAATCATTTTATTTTTATCTTCAATCAATTCATTCTTTCTTTCTAGAAACCAAACAGCCTCATAGAGTTTTCTGCCACGTTAAGCCATTAATAGAATTGGAACATACCACATACACGGGACTAACAGCATCACTCACGACTGATACATAATCTCTATGTCAACTAGCTTCTCCGAACTATAAGAGAGACCTGCATCATGTCCTCAAAACAACATGCTTACATCCAAATCACCAGCTGGCCAAAGTAGAAAGAAAACAGAAAACCTAAAATCACCAAACAGTGAAGATAACTCACTACTATGTGAGAATTGACTGGTAAATGGCGTGTCACAGGTTCTTCAAGAACACGAAGGAGTACTTCATTTGTACCTTTGGCACGCACACGGATTTTTGAAGCAATTCCACTGAAGTATGTATAAGACCAAGATAGAATTCAGGAAAAAAGAGTTCCATTATTCATAAAAAAACATAAAAAAAAAAAAACATCAATCTCCCAACGAAAGAAAACAGAATGAAGGAAGAAGGAAGGAAAGTCATATATATGAAGGAATACTTACAAATGACACCACAAAATCGCTTACATGTTCGTGGAAGACGAACATGTGGTTTGACTTCAAAAAGAACTCCTTTATCAATTTGACATATATAGCTGCTACCATGCCAGCTTTATTAAGCGGGCTGTCTAAAATGGCGGAGAGCCTGTAAATTCCAAAGTTTGACATGTGTAGTGGTAGAAAGAGAAGGAAAGAGAAGAGAAATAGAGAGGAAGAGGAAGAAGAATAGAGAACTACAGAGAACAAGAGAAAGTTTTACCAAACGGTACTCTCAATATTTCACTAAAAACATAAGATTTTCAGGTCTACACATCCTCATATATATACATATATATAAAAGAGCGGAGCCTGTAAAATTCCAAGTTTTTTCTAAAATGTGACCAACCAAGAGTGGAATGTGTGAGCCGACACAAAACCCATAAAAGTAACCCATAATCATATGTTCATCAATGGTGTACACATTGTTTTGTGAGTTGTGACAAAAGCTTTTGCATAAACAGCATCACTCTTCATCCATTCACGTTCATTTTAGTTAAAGAAGTTTGATTAATTTATCTTAAAGATGTTGGAAGATTTGGTCCCGGAAATAAGTACCACCTCATGAACTATGTCAGGTCGATAATCATTAAGATTCTTCTTTTGATTCAACAAAAGCTCGGCATCGTCATCTGAACTCAGAATTTTCCACTTCTGACCAAACATAAGAGAACCAAAAATAAATAAGGTGTATTGTAACCAAGATAAACAAATTTTAACAAATCCCTCGTAACTAGAAAATGAGCAAAGTTAACCAACAACCAACCAACCCCATAAACAAGGTCCACATATTAATGTTTATTAATTGACATATGAGTACCTTTCTAACAAGACCCTTTTGCAGAGAAGCGTTGTCAAGGATGAATATGGTTTGAGACCTCACGTTCTGCGGACAATGGACCAAAGGGTATTTGGTTCACTTTCCAATGGTGCAGCAGTTGATGTTTGGTTCACTTGTGCTTCTCCTTTTAAGGTCACGTTATTAGTCTGTTTTTCCACCCTCTACGCTTTTGCCTAAAATTTCTGCAAGGATTAAGCATGACTGTTGATTCCACTGAAACTGATATCACTCCTTTGAGTAATGATTTTGAGTTTGACAATTGATTTTACTTCACTATGAGAAGATAAAACAGAAAAAATACTAAACTTGTTATAGCACAATATCAATGTTGTCAAAAAGAATAGAAACCTTGATACCACAAAGAATCAAAATAATCATAGTGTTGTAACATACAGAAAGGAAAATGCACCAGCATATTCAACATAAATGATTGAACGTTGAATTATAGTGAAATTAATTAGTACAGTCCACCAAAAAAAAATGCATCATGTCAATGCATACAGCAAATTTAAATGGAAAAATGTACATAAACCAAAAAAAGGAAACAATACATCTTACTTCCCTGAATTCAAGACTAATAAAGTTTACAACTTTAAAATGTATGGAAGAACTTCTATTTTAGAAATATATATTAACTCTAAATCTCGTGTAAAGAAGGGGTGTTTTGTGTTCTGTTCAGAGAAACGTTGACAGAAGTCATCATCAGATTTTAGTTGAGATGTAAAATGTATTTTCAACATACAATTTAAACCAATGAACACGGATGGAGTGAGGTATACAGATGATAGAGAAGTGAAACTACAACACCCATTTAAATCCCCACCATGAAAGTGACACTGAAAGAAATTATACTTGATGACGTAGCATTTCAGTAAATCATAGCACAAGGCAGCTGACAATCAAAAAAAAAAAATGGTTTAATTTAGATTCACTAATCAACTGAGGTTGATCTGTGAGTGTAGGGGGTGTTGATTGAACGAAACAGGACCGGGAGTCAAGAACAGTCCTATCTCATGCCCCATCCTGAAAAATGAACATGAAGGTAGTCCAAGGAGGGGACATTATCAGGATGTCCCAATGAAGTAAACAAAATGTGAAAGAGAGACTTGAATATCAATATTTATTAATTACATAACTTCTTAAATCTAAAATCAAAACTACATGAGCACATAAATTCAATTATTAAATTACAACAACTATAATTTAAAGTGAAATAATACAATCACAACTTAAAGTCAAGTACATGGTAATCACAAATGACCTTGCAAGTAACATAACAACATAGAATCATTGAGTTACATAACTTAAATAAGAATATGGTTATAAAAAAATGAACATAAAATAAATGAACAAAAAATATATATTTTGACTCTCATTGAATAAATAAAGTACTAAATATTAATAAAAAAACAAAATATATAATAATATATTCAGGACCATCCTCACATATTTTTGCCCACTTCTGCGGAGTCTTGTCTTTTTTTATTTTTTCAGTCGAGACAAAGCCATCCTGACATGATTGGGACAAAATTGGACAGACAGGGATCCAATAAGATGGCGGAAAACAAAGAACTTTGTTAGAACTCTGATAATTTTTCTATAACATCAAGAATAAAAACCTAGAGGAATCTAACAATGCTTCCAATACAGAAATCTGAACATAATTACTTCATTCAATATAAATAATAGAATAAAACAGTACAATGTTCATAATAATACACAACAAATAGAAATAAGGCAACGACAGAAAGAAGAAATCTCAGAACTATATACTCGTCAACACGTAGAGGACAACGGAGGGACTATGCAGCAATGAAGGTGGGCAGCTAGAGGGAATGACAGAGGACAGAGGATAGCCGCAAGCGAAGGCTTCTCCTATTCATCGACGGTGAATGCCGCAAGATGACTTGAGTTTGGTTGCGAAGAATGCTTGCGATTTTCGAATTAGGTCCTCGGATCAGATTACCCTTATAATATATTATTACAAGGGTAATCTGATCTGATTTGAAATATGATTATAAGACTGATTTGATGACCTAATTCAAAATCGCAAGCTCCTCGTGTTCTCTTACAACACACACAGCTTGAGAATTATATAATTCTATATGTCATCGTTGATCCAGTATATCCCCTTAATAAACATCAGATTCAATTATTTGCATTATTAATCAAATGCAAATCAACACCAATCTTTATAGCTAACTAAGAGCATAAATATTTGTGAAAGAATGCCGATCATTTGCCGCACAGCACATCATGGATGGCGATGATTATTTAGGTACCAGAGAAAACATCCTGGTATGTACGAATACGGAAAGATACCAGAAGGATCTGTCGTCCATGTCATTTAAAAAATAATGACGTGGCTTTCAACTACATGAAGGAAAAATTCTCAGAAAGATTCAGTGTGATCTTGTCCATGTTCCAATTCCACTCCCGGAGAAAGAAAATAAAACGGTGTGATTTCCTAAAAATCCCAATAGGAATCGCAGGAATATAATATAAAAAGGTATATAATACATGGCAAGACAACCTGATGAATTTGTTTTTGTAGGTACGAGAATCTGGCGGCTGGCCGAAGTCAGTGAAGGAGGAACGAATTATTCTGCAACTTGAATTCACACCATGAAGTTTAAGAATATTTAAATTTGTGTAATCACCAGTACCTCGGAGCCAGATTATGGATTGTTTACGATGGGGCTGATACAGGGGTTATCACGAAAAGTCCACAGCGGATCAAAAAGGGCCTATTGGATGAATGAATAGTATAAGATCATTAGGTGTATGATAGTCAAGGAAGGAGCCCATCACACGTAAAAGGCCATCCACATTGATATGTGAAAAACCCATATTAGTTTTTGACCAAAAACGCCAGATTAGATATACTTCTCTCTGTTTCTTTTCAATGGATAGGAGTAGGACGGCTGTGAGGAGAAATCAAACATTCACACCTTTTTTTTTTTTTTTAAATTGACTCAAATAAGGTGCATTTTTTGAGAGTAAGGAAAGAGTGCTGTGGGGAATACAGTCGAACGAGGAAAAGGTATGGTATGGCCGTATGCGCATCATCATCTCTTTCATATTTTAAAAAAATTACAGTTCTGCATTTAGATTTTATAACTCAATGATTCTATTATTATTATATTACTTGTAAGGTCATTTGTAATTGCCATGTACTTGATTTTAAGTTGTGATTGTATTATTTTACTTTAAATTATAATTGTTATAATTTAATAATTGAATTTATGTCGTGTCTAGATTGTGATCTTCCAAGAAAAGGAAATCAATAAATGTAAGAATTGCCACCAAAATTTTAAAAAGATAATTTTAAAAACTTTTTAAAAAATAAAATGGTTTATAATAATTAAATAGGATTCGAGAGTCGATTGTGTGTTGGAAAGGTGTTAGGCACGTCACATCACCCATTCGTGAGAACGGTTACCCTAGTTGACTAAACAAAATTAATATGGCCTGAAATGAAATTTAATTACCCTTAATTAATAAAAAAGGAAAAAAGAATAAAATTATAATTAAAAAATTATTTATTTACAATTTGGACTTGATCTAAGATAAAAACCTAAGGCTTACGTTCCCTTTAGAGGTATTAAAATTCACGTAGTTGAGAGTAAAAATGTGTGTCAGTTTGCTAATATTTTTAGAAAAGGAATTTTTATTTTTCAAAAAAAAATTTAAATTGGGTTGGTATCTCTTAATTAGAAAAAAAATCTTATTCTCTTATTGAGAAAGGATTTTGTTAAAATAA